TACATTTTTTCACAACGCTGAACTCAACTGCTTTTTTGTCATGTGTGTATACGTGAGTGTGTGGCTTTGATCTATATTTTCGTTATTAATGTTTGTTATAATTCACTACGACTTTTGTTTCTTCCTAATAAATTATATACGCGCAGTTTTATTTAAAAAAAAAAAATGTTTGTTCCTCAACGCAAAATAAGGACAAAGTCACAATACAAACGTGTGTACTCTCTTGTCTTTATTTTAATTTTCATTCAAATTAGATTACTTAGAACCAGCATGTGCACACATTTATGTCTTACATATTTATATGTTTATAATCCCTCTGATTACTTTACTAGTACCCTTCTCTGTTATTTTCTTCTCGTATATGTTGTATGATGCAAAACGCTTAGTCCTGCATCATTGAAAATATCAATGGGAAATACCTCTAGTATTTTTTATTTTTTTATTTTTACTTAATTCTTAATTAGTTATACCTTCAGCGAACAGGAATACTCATTTCCAGTCATTGTATCGTAAATTATACGATCATTATTACTATGATAATTATTATTATTACTATCATTTCTATTATTATTACGATAATTATTTAGAGTGCGGCCTCTGTATCTTACTTACTTAATTTATACTTTACTTTTATTTAATTATTCTTCGTCTAATCTTGTTTGTTTACTTGTTTGCAGTTGAACCGTATATGTGTGTATACGTGCGTGTAATCTTACTTTTTTTTTCTTTTTTCTTTTTTTTTTATCTTAAAGGCGTATATGTATATTTAAATTCGCAAGAGAAAATATCTCCAGATGAATCGACTTTCTTATTTTCCCTTATCGTTAATTGAAATTTTTTTTTTTTTTACTTTGTACACGTTTTATTAACAAAAATAAACTAAACCGCATCACGTGTCGTTCTTCATTCCGGACAATATTATTAAGGCATCATCGACGATCCGAATTCCTGTCTCGATAAAAATTATTATTCATTACCATGACAATGATGCTGATAAAAAAAGAAAAACAAGAATAAAAATAAAAAAACAACGACGTTTCTACGAGAGGATCGCGAATGCAAGGCACTCTCGCGTCTCTCCTTGCTCTTTTTCATCATTTCAAAAATGTTTTTCAAACACTTTGTCTGTGACAAATTAGATTAATTTTAGGTCTCGCTATTGCACCAATATTTACACAATGGACGTTATATTTCTCTTGCATCGTCTCGATTAAAAACGTCTCTCTCTTAATATCCGATTACACGTTCATATTTATAATTAAATCGCTTGTCGCTCTCGTCTCTTTCTCTCTACTTAAACCTGATTTCTTTTATTTATTTATTATTTATATTTTTTTGTTCTTTTTCATACGTGTAAATTTATACTTTTATTTAATAAAAAGCCACTCAAAGTGTCCCGTATTCTTCTTCACGAATTATTTTTTTGTGAATAAAAATTGTTAAAGCTATGTATTTCAGTACGCAAATGAATAATTAAAAAAAAAAAAAAAACAAAAAAAAACTGTGCGAGGTATAATAGTATAGTATTACTGTGACGCCGGGAGGCGCGAAGCTCCTGTCTTCCTTGAGATGGACGTGGAACGCGTGGCCGAAAGCCACGAAATCGTACCGCGGATGGGGGTCCCAGACCTTGCTCTGGCTGTGCCGGAAGTGCCCGCTGTGGTGGCGCTCGAGCTCTACCGGTCTGTCCACTGGGAAGGCGCGCAATTTTATTTAAATTGTAAAAAAAAGGGGACACGCTTACGGCCACACTTACGGGGATCCTCGTAAGAGTTGCGGTCGCTTTTGGCCAGTGCGACGTACTCGGCGTTGCCTGCGTCGCTCGGCACGATTTCCGCCTTCCAATCGCCCCAAGTCGTTTCCACCTTGGACGCGGGACCATCGCCACCCTCCGCCGCTACGGTTCGATTACAT